AGAGGAAAAGTGATGCCCTAGAAACCTTATAGGAAATGCACATAAAGTGTGTGAACATTAATGCATATGTACACCTAGGAGCTGCTTGGAAGGTAATGCAGTGCGAGATAGAAGAGACTTCCTTTAGAGTGACAAACATGTTGTACAGCACTCATCAAAGAAGCTTCTTTTTGCAACAGATGGAGGCTACTGCACATATGGTCAGGCATAGAGAACATACACCTGGGGGATGCCCAGTACTAGGTGACACATCTGCAGTTGAACCTCTACAACCAAGGCTCATAGAACATAGCAGAATAAGGGGTAAAGAGAGGGCTAATGCCCCCCTCAACTCTCACCAGTGAGGCTTCCATGTACATCAGAGTGTGTTACATACAGAAGGCCTCAACTTGCCAAGTTTTGGCGAATAAGAGACTGTAGAGTGTAGGATGGGACTCCTGTATGGAACGTCACCCACCCACGGCTCAGGGACCATTGCAGAAGAGGAGGCGCAGATTGTAAGAGCCAGGGCTGGTTCATGAACATATGAGGTGGAGGCTTCCAGGCCAATGGCAGCTTGCTCATGTGAGCCTATGGCAGTGATGGCATCCTACTCGGGACCCATGTCAGCTCAATTAAACAAGAGCCCAAGGGTAGGTGAGAAACAGGTCAGCACTAGATCAAGAATTATTTGAGACTGGTTCTTGCTGGGTGAGGGAGAGTATGACTCACATATGACCACTGGATGGGCTGACTAGATTCCAGTGGATGCATTTACACTGAAGGACATTTGGGTACAAACACCTGAATGAATAGGACTCAGGATGGCAGCATAGGGTTCAGTGGGGTTGGGGGGGAGGCATGGATGGGGAGAAGGTCTGGATATGAGTGGGAAATAGTGTATGAAATTTTAAAAGCTCAATTAAAAAAAATACTCAGAGCAGGAACCTGGTGCACAGACCATGGAAGAGTGCTGCTTACTGACTTGCTCCCCTGGCCTATGCTTTCTTATACAATACAGGACCACATGCCCAGCGGTGGCACCTCCTACAGTGGGCTGGGACTGGGGCCCTCCCACATCACTCAACAATCAAGAAAATGCCCCCACAGACATGGACACGGGCCAATCCAATGGAAGCAATTCTCCAGTTGAGGTTCCCTCTTCCCAAGTGTGTGAAGTTGACAACTAAAGCTATCCAGCATAACAGACCCCTTGTCAGCTTGACACAAATACATCACTGTTAAGCTGCAAGCTTTCCATTTCTTATCCCCAAGATATGTTAATATTACAACATCAAACAGCACCGTACAACTTTAAAAGTCCCACAGTCCTTAAAAAAATCCAAATACCTTAAAAGTTGCAAGTCTCTTAAAAGTCTTAACTGTGAACTCCTGTAAAATCCAAAACAAGTTAAAAACAGTCTTATTTCAAAAGGGAAGAATTGGGCACACTTAAGCAAAACCCAAGTCCAGCAAAGTAGCTCAAGATGGGACAGCTGGGATTCACTCACGATCTTCGGGGCCCCAATGGGTTTAGCATCTCCACTTCTCTGGCTCTGCCATCCACAGCACACACAGCTTGTCTTTAGGCTCAGACTGGCTCTACTCCACACCTGTCACTGCCCTTGGTGGTGGTCCCATGGTCCTGGTATCTCCAATATGTGGGGGTCTCATCTGCAACTGAGGCTGCACCTTCACCAATAGTCTGTCCTGGCCTCTCAGGGTGCAAAAACCTCAGCTGCTCTCCATGACCCCTTCATGCCTTCAAAACTAGTACCATATAGGGGACTCTTACAAATTACCAAGTCCTGTTTCCAGCTTGAGATAGAGCCTTGGGTACTCTCTGGACCACAGCTTCTGTGCACTGACCCTGAGGAAATACTTCCTTGAGTTCACCTTGATGATGCCAATCTCTTGTTACCCACAGCTGATTTTCAGCCCCAGCTAACCAGCATCAGTTATCCCAGTAAAGCATAAAAGGTTTCACTTCCAAAAATTTCTTAATTAAAATAAAACAGCCTGAGAGAGTCTTTGCTTCCCTTAAAAAGTCTCAAGCCAAGCCTCCATTGTTTACATTTCTCTTCATTACTGTTTCAAGTTCCACAGCAACAGCTCACTAAGTTCTAAGCATTCAGTGACTTTTCTAGACCACAGCTGCAAACGCTTCCACAATCTTCTGTGACACATATGGTCAGGTTCATCACAACATCATACTCTCTTTAATGAATTTCTGTTCTAATTTGCCTTCAGGTGCTGTGATAAAAACACTGACTAAAACCAACTTGGGGAGGAAAGGGTTTATTTGGCTTATAGCACAGTTCATCAATGGAAGCCAAGGCAGAAACTCAGTGAAGGAACCTGGAGCACAGACCATGGAGAAATGCTGTTTACTAGCTAGCCCTCCTGGCCTGTGCTCAGCCTGCTTTCTTACACAATACAGGACAACCTGCCCAGGGGTGGCACCTCCCACAGTGGGTTGGCCCTCCCATATCACTCAACAATCAGGAAAATGCCCCACAGACATGGCCACAGGCCAATCCAATGGCAGCAATTCCCCAGTTGAGGCGCCTTCTTCCCAGGTGTGTCAAGTTGACACCTACAGCTATCCAGCACACCTTTTGGGGACAGTACTTAAGTGAAGAAAATGTCCTTGTTCTGGATCAGGAGGACATAAATAGTCTGGCATATAACTGTAGCTCCCATGACAATAATCAGGGAGGCATATTATCATCCATTAAAGTTGACAATTTCCCTTGTGTAGTAACTATGAACTTCTTTCTTATATGGAATTCAGGTTTTCAGTGTTAAGCCAGACCAAGGTTAGTTATTTTACAGAACTCCTGGCTGATTCAAGACTATGATGCCCTAATACTGACTACATCTTTGTTTTATAGAGTTCAAAGACTTATGTAAATCTCTTTTTGAGAAAGATTCCTATGGATAAGTGACCTAATAAGGATTCTAAACTTGAGATCATTAAAAAAATGTGTCCCTTTACTCTAACCCAGCAGTGCCCAATACTCAGAGATACCACAAACAAGTTTAAATTCCTTAATCAAATATTTTAGTTTGTGTTATCTTCTTGAAACAAAATAACTGAGAATAGGAACTTTATAAAGAATAGAAATTGATTTCCCAGAGTTCTGGAGGCTGCAAAGTCCAGGATCAAGTTGCTGGCAGAGTTGGTGTAAGTGAAAAACATCGCTCTCTGCTTCCAAGGTGGCACCTTGTTGCTCATGACCTTTGGAGGGGCTGAATACTTTGTCTTCACATGCTGAAAGGCAGAGGGTGACAGGGCCCAAGGTATTTCCCTTCAACCCCCTTTAAAGGCATGAATCCATACATAAAGGTTCTCATAATCAACTTCCTCAAAGGACAAGTCTTAATACCACCCATGAAGTTTGAACATGAATTTGGGAAGGGACATAGCCAAACTTTAACACCAAAATAGTTATGAGCAATAAAAACTATATATTTTCACCTTGTAAGTATAAAGGTAAAACAGTCATTTAATATTTGATGTTCAGTCTCTTTTTTTTGCCTTTTGCCTTTTGCCTTTTTGAGACAGGGTTTCCCTGTAGCCACAGCTGGCCTGGATTCACTATGGAGACCAGCCTGGCTTCGAACTCACAGAGATCCCTCTGCCTCTGCCTCTGCCTCTCCAAGTGCTAGGATTAAATGTGTGCTCCACCATGCCCAACTTGATGTTCAGTCTTAAATGTGTCTATAGAGTCACTGTTCTAAGCTGATACAAAGACCAAAAGGATACACAAAGAAGAAAATGATACCACCCTCCTAGGAACAGATTGTTCTACAGCCACAGTAACAAGCAGTTATCAAAAGCGGCTTCACACTTGCCCACTAGACCAATTAAAGCTTGCTTTAGTGGACATGCTTTTAACAAATTTTTATTTTGTATATATGAGCGTATGGATAGTTTGCCTGTAAGTACACTCATGCCATGCAGTACTTGCAGAGGCCAGAAGATGGTGTCAGATCTCCTTGAACTGGAGTCCTGGATGGTTATTAGCTGCCATGTGGGTGCTAGTAACTGAACCCAGGTCCTCTGCAAGAGCAGCCAGTGCTTTTAAGCACTGAGCCACCTCTCCAGCCCTGTGGAGATGCTTTTATAAGCCCACTGAGCAATCACAGTCCCTCCCTTCATTTGAATGCTAATCAGTGATCACCAAGTAACTACTTGGTGTATCCCCCAAGTAACTACTTCTATAGATACCAACCATGTAAGACTCTAAAGCCTTCTAAGTCTTGCATTCTATGTTTCTTCAAACCCTATAGAAGGTCAACAACTGCTTAGGGAGGACCAGGCCTGAACCATATGGCTCTTCCTTTGAGTATAGCAAGTAAGAAATTCAGTTTTACCATTTTATATCAGACAGAGAATGGTGGGCTATTCATCTCTGGACAGTCAGTTGCTCATTATTCTTTGCAATACCAAAATTGTTTACTTGTTTTAGGTGTTGATAGTACTGTCAGCAGCTACCATTACTTGGGCACTAAGCCAGATATTAAACCATTTATGTATGTAAGCCTGAATTATCTAACCTGCTGCTCAATATCTGAAATAACAAATACCAAGCTCAATTTACAGCTTACTATTGTAAGAAGAGCTACACTGATCAATCCAGCTCCTAGGGTGGAACAAACTCAGGTATTCAAGAAACATCCCTTTAAAGACCAAAGAAGCTGCTAATAGCCCTTGAGATGTGTTATTTAGAATTAAATAAGAGTCTTATTAAAGACACACTTTGTAATCACTCATTCCAGAAGGTGTCAGTTTAGATGGCAGTAGAAGAGGTGCTTCTATTTTTTCCCAGATGATTCCATTTCCAGAGATTACCCTACTTGCAGATGAGACTAGAACATTCCACTGACATAAAGCATCATGCCATTTAGTAGCCATGCCACTTCATACTTTACTAAATTCTTTCTGAAAATAGCCAAATAATATGTAACAGCATTTAACATCATAAAACAAACAAATTTAAATGTATTGGGTAGAAAAATAGGGAATGGACAAAGAGGATGGGTGGGTTCTGCAGTAATATAAAAGAGTTCACAAAGGATGAAGTCCAAATCTTCAGCCCACATCATGTTCTTAGGATGCAGAGACAGGCCAGTCCTACATGCTGGCCAGCAGAATCAGGGTGGTGCAGCTCCACATGAAGAAGCTCCTTGTCAGGGACATTTCTTCCTTTCTGTCTCAGAATGATACTTTTTGGGCATAAGCCCAAGATTCTGTTTGATCTCCCATCGATGCAGAATAGACTGGCTGGATACAGCATTGTGTCTTATATCTTGATCCTGCTGGAAAGAAAACACACCCGACTCTGCTCAGAACTAATGACAGTGTTTGAAGCCTTTTGTCTTCTATAATGTCACTTATTCATCCAGATAGGTAGTTAAAATCTAGACAGTGTGGGAGAGGTGAAAGGTTTTTCTTTTTTTGCTTTATTTTTATTTTATGTGTATGTGTGTATTGTGTGCATGTATGCAAGTGCATCTGTGTCATGTAATGCCCCCAGAGGACAGAAGGGGGCATTGGATCCCCTGGAATTGGAGTTACAGACGGTTGTTAGCCACCATGTGGGTGCTGGGATTTGAACCCAGTTCTTCTGTAAAAACAACCAGTGCTCTTAACCACTTGAGCCTTCTTTCCAGCCCTGAAAGTTGAAACTTTAAAGAAAAAACTTAGTTCATTGGTTTCCTAGCAGTAGTTTAAAGAAACCTAAAGATTATAAGAGCAGCTCGATGATGACAGAAATCTAGTTAGAAATCTAAGGGGAAAAATCCAAAATTCTTCACAACAACCATGTCAGCCACACCTCTTCTGGTCACCTGTCTTCCTGGGGAAGCTTCTGCAGCCGGTGGTTTTTCATCAGCTCAAGCTGTAGGCCATTGAACCTGCACTTAAACCAGCGGTGAGCTTCTTCCAGATTAGCTGTTATCTGAACACAGAAACAGAAACACATTCTTCTGTGTACAAGTTTGAGAGACTTTTTATCTAGATAATAGAAGATCCCTCCAATTCTGACTATGGAAGCCTTGCAACCTATTTGTACAAGATACAAAATTGAGGGAATACTTTCTAAATGAGGGGTCTTAAAAATGCATGTGGGTTTCCGGTTTTCCAGGCATTTGTTAATGTTTCTTGAATATCCTTCACCTCCATCCGCATCTCCCTCACCTAGTGAGGCATCTGACACAGAGTAGGTCCTAAGCAAGTATGTGCTGCCAAGTGCTTTTTGACATTAATTTAACTAGGTCATCATGTGGGTAGACTATAGTGAGATAAAAATGTTAGACTCATCTTTTATGGTGTTATTTAACTTTTAGAAGCTAAAAAATATTTCCCAGTTCTGTTGGTACATCCTGATAATAGTAACAACTTCACTCCAAACCAAACCCTCCCCCTTCTTTTACCAGAAATATAGGGAAAGATGCTAAATCTTCACAAATCACACCTCCCATTGTATGGTAAATGAGAGGGAACAAATATTCATTGAAATGTACTCAAGAATTTGGCAGAATAAGATAATAGTAGGTATTAGCTTATTGAATTTTGTAAAAATGATAATAAACAGTTTAAAGAAAGTAAATATGGGCTGGGAAGGTAACTTGGTTGTTAAAATGCTTTCGTTGCAAGCACGAGGACCTGAGTTTGATCCCCAGAACTCACATTAAAAAAAAAATCAGTGTGGTGACATATACTTGTAACCTCAGAGCCAGGGTGGAGGAGACAAGCAGATTCCTGGGACTTCCTGGTGAACTGGCTTAGCTTACTTTGTGAGTTCCAGTCCAATAAGAGGGCCTGTCTCAAAAAACAAGAACTAAAGAAAAAAAAAAAGAAAGAAAAGAAGAACAAGAAGAGGAGAAGGGGGGAAAAAGAAGAAGAAGAAGGAAGAGGAGGAGGAGGAGGAGGAGGAGGAGGAGGAGGAAAACTACAGCACCCAAGGAATGACACCTGAGGTTGTACTCTGGCCTCTACATGCATACTCACACTCATGCACATGTATCCTTATAAATGAGCACACATAAACATGTACAAAACATGCTAAAAAAGAAAGTAAACTTAATTTTACTAAGGGCACACAGGGAGTATCACAGTTAGCATTCAAACTTGGGACTTTCACAGACTTTGTTTTTCTAATATACCATTCATCAAATCATATATAAGTTAATGGCCATAACAGACAAATGATAATTTGACAGTAATATTATTATGATACCTTAAGCTCAAGCATCTCTTCTTCATGCCACTATTGTGCCTAAAGGCAAATCTTGCCAGGCTGGTTGTTATTGTGGCTCCTAAGGTATATAGCTGGGTAAGACTTGTGGCATGAGTGCTATGATGTTAAGGTAACCAACTGCTTTCTTATTGGATTTGTAGGCCCTAGGGGACAACCTGCCACTATTATTTTGTTAAATGGACATGGTATCAAACTGCCTTCTAAATATATATCTCTACACCCACAGATGAGTGCAGCTCTCAGTTTTCACCAGAGAAGCGTCCTTGTGCAGTGGATGGTGGTTAATACAGAGATTCACAGCTAGACAAAGTGCAGAGAATACGTGTCTGTGGAGTGCTCAATCATAAATGGGTTATCTCTTTCATCTACCCTCCATCCAAGGCTCAGGGACAACTGTAGAAGAGGTCAGGGAGGAGTGAAGCAACAGAGTCTTCTGGATGTATCAGGACCACTGCACTCATGAACTCACAGCAGCTGTGGCTGCCTGCACAAGACTTGTACAAGGTCAAACCAGTCAGCATTCCAGCATGAATAAGGGAAGGGCACGTAAGCCCCCACTAGCTGAGGAGCTACTGACAGGTGGCAGCTGCTAGGGGAGGGAGAGTTAGCTTTCTTTATGCCCCTTGTTGGCTGATCATGCTCCAGGGGATGGCTCCACACCCATAAACATATGGGCATCACTAATTAAACTCTGAGTTATACCAAGAAAGGGGACATAAAGTGGGGGGAAGGGGATCCCAAAGGAGTTGGAGGTGGGGAAATGCAGGGTGTATACATATTGTATACATGCATGAAATTCTCAAATAATAAATTAAAAAATACTGTACTTCTAAAAAGCTCTTTTTCATCTAGGAAATTAGAAGTGGTGGTGGTAGACTTAAGATCTCAAAGATACTTTCTAACTCTAAAAATCTATGGTTTTAAATACCTTCAAATAGGCCAATTTAAGTTAGGAACAGAGGCAAATTTATATATTATGTAGGCTGTAGTTATTGACAAAGAGTTTCTACTTTCTTTAGTTCATGTTAAATAAAACACATTAAAATTCACATATTACTGATTTTCCCTTAATTTAGTGGTAGGGACATGGACTTGAGGTTTCACTAATATTCTAGCATTTGATTATGTATTATCAGGACAGAGAATCCCAATCTAAAATTAATCTTTACAATAGAGACTACGCTTAGTAAGCTATTGGGTCTTGCCTGTTGTACTCCTGACAACTATGCCCATAACAGATTTCATACTGATGTGTGTTTTAGGGTTTGTCTTAAGTCTCAGAGTCTGGCTCACCTGTTCTGATTCCATACTGGCTTCTTTTAGCTTATTTTCAGTTGCTTCTTTACATTTCTTCAGGTGTCTGATAGTTTCTTCCAATTCCTGAAAATGTGATAGAGACACTTTAATAAACTTCCAATGTACCATACAGAACTAGAAAGACTTCAAATTTATAATATGGCACCACTAGATCAATAAAGTAAGATGGAGGACTTTTGAACTTCAGGTGCAAAATAGAAACTTACCTTCAATTTAATCTACAGTTTATACATGGAGTTTGGTTTTGGTTTATAGAATCTACTGAGAGAAACTAATTAACATCTCTTTTTAGAATTAGAGAGGTACCTTTTATAGCTATTGGAAGACAAGATTTCAATGAGCTCTTGAAGTGCTTTTTTTTGGGTTATGTATTGCTGAACTTTTCATTAGGTTAGGAATAGCTAAGAGTTCTGTAACAGCAATAAGTAAATTTTTACTATAGGGAAGAATCAAGTGATATACAGCTCTTATAAGACTAAGGATTCAGTGCAGGAGTCTTAATGGTTGGCATTTTACATCTGTAAGCTCTAGCAGTTATTTAAAAGCAAACATCATTTTTATTAAACTGATAATAAAAATCATTTGTCATATGTCAAACTACAGGCTTCTTCCTAGATAGCATCATGGTCTCAACAAGAAATGTCCTTCAGTAGGCTCATATGTTGAATGCTTGATCCCTAGTTGGTGGTGTATTTTGGAAGGTGGTAGAAATTTTAGAACGTAGGGTATAGGAAAGGAAGTAGGTTACTTAGGGGTGTGTTTTTGAAGAATATACCTGTTCCCCAAGTCCCCTTGCCTTTCTATGCTTGGGGTTCTCCATGAGGTGGGCAGTCTCCTACCATGATGTCCTGCCTCACCCAGGGCCCAGAATTAACAGAGCCAGGGACTACGAGCTGAAATCTCTGACACTGGAACCCAACATGAACCCTCTTTTTTGTTGTTTATGTCAGTTATCTTGTCATTCCCATGAGGAAACTAACTAATATACTATTCTTGTACATGCATTGTTTTTCTTCTGTAGAGTATAGAAAATCTGGCATGATCCCACTGGGTTTAGGCACATACCACTTGCTGATAACTGTTGAACGGAATCTTAAGACATTTTTTACCTGGCACCGGTTTTCTAGTTCCTGCCTAACTTTCCGCTCTGTTATTAGTTGCAACTCTTGCTGTTTATTCTGTGCAGAGGTTTCATATTGGCTCTGGGCTAAGAGCTGCATCTCTTTCTGCAGGGTATTCATTTCTGATACAAATCTCTGGATATTCAATGACTGGCAGGGAACAAAGAGTGAAACAGTTGCTGGATTTAAGTTTGGAATTTTAACATGAACAGTAAACACAGTTTGTAAAAATCATTTTCTACCTGTTCATAGTTCTTTTTCTGATACTGATCCTTAATCATCTCCATTTGCCTCAATTCTGTTTCTATTTGCTGAAAATAAATGCAGAAATAACATAAAATGGTCAGAGGAATAACTGGCTTCTGGGATGATAGAATCTAATGTTACCAGTTTCTGCCAAGTTCCAGTTCCCATCTAGTCCACTGACCCCAGAAGAGTGAAGGCCAGTACAGTCAACTGGAAGAGATGAATGTGGAGCCAAAAGGTGACACAGCAGCTCAGTGAGACCAGCATTAACACAACAGCATCTCTACTGAAGCAGAGAGAGTCCCACAGAGGCAATCTGCCCCCTTCCCAGAGAACATGTACTGCTGGGAGGGCTAGGAAACCTCTCTTCCCCAGACGCCATCACCTGCCTGGCTCCTCCCAGCATGCTTAAATAGTGGGAGACACAGGGCTGCTCATACAACCTTTATCCTCTCCATATTCTGAGCATTATTTGCCTTAGCTGACCAATGCAGTTTTATTTGGGCCTTCTGATTCTTTAGTTTTTCCTTGTTACTGTTCACTATTTTTTCCAGCTCTGTAAGTTTCTGTCGCAGCTCTCGGTTTGTCCGGGACACTTCCACTGATCTCAAGTTGGCTTCATCAAGGGCTTTCTTCAGCTTAGAACACAAAAGAAAAAAAAAGATGGAATATTTTTACCTACCATTCAGTAAGAGAAGTGTTAGTTTGTTCCTACATTTTAAAAGGAGTGATATAATATATAATGAAGTCTGATAAAGCAGATTTATGGAGCAACAAATCAAGTAATTTTCATAAATTAAAAAAATTATTTTTATGTTATGTGTATGAGTGTTTTGTCTGCATGTATGTAAGTGCACCACATGCATGCAATGCCCACAGAGATCAGAAGACGGCACTGGATTCCCTGGAACTAGAATTACTGGTTGTTAGTTACTGGTTGTTAGCCACCATGTGGGTATTAACAGAGAGTAAAACACCTTTAGACTAGATAAAGAATGTGAATGTATAGTCATCAGCTGCATTTTAAGAGCATGGCTTTGCAGTAAGACAGAGCCTAAGTTCCAGTCTCAGCTTCCCCATCTACAGGTAGAGTAAGTTTGATAATTAACTTCCTCAAGCTTCAGTTCATAAACTGAAAAGTCCATGTACAGCCTACTTAAGAGAACCCTGAGAGTTAAAAAGACAAAATAATATAGAATCTGGCACACAGTAATCACTCAGTGGTTATTGCCATGATATAAACATTTTTCTTGCTGTCACAACCTCATGTCTCAAGAGATAAAGATAAATTATAGAGCATATAGTTGGTAGCTATTTACTATTACTGCATGTGTTTTACAGTATCGCTTTTTGTTCTGAAGTAGTTTAGTAATTTTGTCTCATGGAAAGTGATATGGTCATTACTTAAATAAGCTTACATTGCCCTGCTCCTAATGTTTAAATTAATGCTGCTTCAATTTTAAGAAGAAGAGGCAGCTGAGAAGGGAGAAGGTGGGATTCTCAAGGGCTGGCGATGGTTAACAGAGGCCGTCAATCCTCCTGGACCTGTTTGCTCCATACTAGTTTTCCTTTGGCTCTTAACTTGACACCACAGTCTTCTATTGCCTCCACTAACTTCCTGTTAGATATTCCACTGCTACTTCAAGGCATGATTCTGTCTGAATGGAGGAAGAATCCCCAATAACCATTACTTACTTATGTTTGGCACTATGGTAATCCTTTATAAATGCTTCCCAAATTAATTTTTATTTCTTTTGGTGTTTTTGAGACTAGGTCTTCCTGTAGCTCCAGCTGGCCTGGAACTTACTACGTGGAATAGGCTAGCATTGAACTCACAGAGATCCACCTGCCTCTGCCTCTCAAGTGCTGGGATTAAAAGCATGCCTTCCAAGTGCTGGGATTAAACCCTGCTGCTTGGGTTGTAGTCCTCCATGTCCGGATAGCTCTAAGGGGCTTAGCGCTATATGGAAGGACTCCTCTTCTCAGCAGGGGGCCTCCTGCTCTCTGCCTGACTTACCTGGAGAGTGCCGCCAAGCAGGGATGCCTGACCTTATTTGGAACATGACCTTTGGCATAGTTACCTGGAGTAAAAACTACCCCCAGGTTTTTTCTATATGATAATT